GAATTTTCCATCCATCTACCCACCCACCCAACAGTCCATCCATCCATTAATTATCCAGTTATTCATCCATCCACCCACCCATCTATCCACCTACCCATCCATCCACCCATCTGTCCATCCACAACAGTCTTGCTCTGTTGGGCTCAGTGCGGTGGTGCCATCTCAGCTACTGCAGCCTCCGCCTCCCGGGTTTTTGCATTTTTAGTAGAGATGGGGTATGCGTCATGTTACTTTAGACTGGTCTCGAACTCCTGGGTTCAGTGATGCACCCGCCTTGGCCTCCCCAAAGTCTGCTGGAATCAGAGGCATGAGCCACCAGCCCAGCCATGGCCTCGATCCTTTTTTCTTCCCCACTCTGTCACACAGCCTGGGAGAGCAGTGGTGCAATCTTGGCTCACTGCAACCTCCGCCTCCCGGGTTCAAGCGATCCTCCACCTCAGCCTTCCAAGTAGCTGGATTACAAGCATGCACTACCACGTCTGGAGTAATTTTTGTATTTTTAGTAGAGCGGGGTTTCCCCATGTTGCCCAGGCTGGTCTCGAACTTCTGACCTCAAGTAATCCACCTGCCTCGGCCTCATGAGGATTGCTGGGGGCGTGGTGACCTTGCTCAGACATGTACAGTCAATTCCTGCTTTGTTGTGGCATCTTTAGCAGGGAATCAGCCCTCAGCCCAGCCCTGGGGAGGCCTGGGTCAGGGCTGCTCGGGAGGGAAAAGCCATCACTGAACATCCCAGGGTGGGGTGGAAGGGGAGGCTGGGTTCATGTCCCGTGAGCATTCATTGGCGCCTGCTGCATGCAGGCATGAGGCCCGGGGCAGGCGTGGAAGAAGTGGGTAGCACCGTTTATTTGCACCTGACACCTGGTTTGAAAACCACCGCTAACCTGTGGGCAGCCAGCAGACCCCCCTGTGCCAAGGAGCTCGGGTGGAGATGAGGTCAATGGGAAGAGGGCCCTGGGAATTATGCACTTTAATGTTCTCTCCACTCTCTGCATCATCAGCATGATTTTGCTGTAGGCGGGCAAACAGCATCAAGCCTAGGGTTTGAAGAGGTGGGAGCCTGAAATGGCCCCCTTCAAAATACCTAACACTGCCGGGCACAGTGGCTCACGCCTGTAATCCCAGCACTTTGGGAGGCCGGAGTGGGCGGACTCACCTGAGGTCGGGAGTTTTTGAGACCAACCTGGCCAGCATGGTGAAACCCTGTCTCTACTAAAAATACAAAAATTAGCCCAGCGTGGTGGCGCACGCCTGTAATCCCAGCTACTTGAGAGGCTGAGGTGGGAGAATTTGTGAGGTCGAAAGGTGGCGGTGGCAGTGAGCTGAGATTGTGCCAGTGCACTTGGCGACAGGAGGCAAGACTCCATCTCAAAAAAATAATAGTAATAAATAATAATAATAATAATTGGGCAGTTTGCAGTATGATTTCTGTAATCCCAGTGCTTTGGGAGGCTGAGGCAGGAAGATCACTTGAGGTCTGGAGTTCAAGATAGCCTGGAAATACGCTTTGGTAAGACCTTGTCTCTACCATATATATATATATATGTTTGGTTTTTTTTTTTTTTGAGACGGGTCTTGCTCTGTCACCCAGGCTGGAGGAGTGCAGTGTGATCTCTGCTCACTGCAAGCTCTCTCCCGGGTTCATGCCATTCTCCTGCCTCAGTGTTGCTCCGGTAGCTGCCAGGACTACAAGCCCACACAAGCATGCCCGGCTGAATTTTTTGTATTTTTAGTAGAGACAGGTTTTTCACCATGTTAGCCAGAATGGTCTTGATCTCTGACATATAGGTTGTTCTGCCTCTCGGCCTCTCTCAAAGATGCTAGTAGCGTGGCTCCACTGGCCTGTTATGTTTTTGAGATGGAGTATGGCTCTGTCGCCAGGCTGGAGTGCAGTGATGCGATCTGGCTCACGCCAACCTCTGCCTCCTGTGAGTTCCCAGCGATTCTCCTGCCTCAGCCTTCCGAGTTGCTGGGATTACAGGTGCCCACCACTACCACCACCACACCCAGCTAATTTTTATATTTTTAGTAGGGATGGGGTTTCACCATGTTGGCCAGGCTGGTCTCAAACTCCCAGCCTCAGGTGATCTGCCCACCTCAGCCTCCCAAAGTGCTGGGATTACAGGTGTGAGCCATCGCCCGGCCTGCAGCAGAGATTTAAATGCAATTTCGAATAAACAGATTTTCTACGAAGTGATGTGGAGAACTCAATGATGCTGTGTTGGGGAGGAACCCACTTGCCCAGGTGTGAGGTAACAGATTACAGGCCAGCCACCGGCCCTGGGACTTGCATGGGTCGCTGTTTCCTTGAGACTGAGGTCCGTCTTCCATCTAGGCTCTGGAAAGTCCATCCACTAGAGCCAGTTTTCCTGGCCTGATATGCAAGGATGGATTAAAGTTATTTTATTTTATTTTATTTTTATTTTTTTGAGATGGAGGCTCGCTCTGTCACCCTGGCTGGAGTGCAGTGGCCCAGGTGTCTCAGCTCACTGCAAGCTCCGCCTCCCGGGTTTACCATTCTCCTGCCTCAGCCTCCCGAGTAGCTGGGACTACAGGCGCCCACAACCTCACCCCAGCTAGATTTTTTGTATTTTTAGTAGAGACGGGCTGTGTTAGCCAGGATGGTCTCGATCTCCTGACCTCGTGATCCGCCCGTCTCAGCCTCCCAAAGTGCTGGGATTACAGGCTTGAGCCACACCACGCCCGGCCAGTTATTTTTTTGAGATGGGGTCTGGCTCTCTCTCACGGAAGCTGGAATGCGGGTGGTGTGATCTTGGCTCACTGCAGCCTCTGCCACCACCTGGGCTCAAGTCATCTTCAAGCTCCTCTGAGACATGGCTGCATACACCACACCCAGCTATTCTTTCTGTTTTGTTTTATAGAGGCGGGTTTTTTTTTTTTTTTTGGGGCGGGTCAGCTGTCCTGCCCAAGGAGTGCAGTGGCGCGATCTTGACTCACTGCAAGCTCCGCCTCCAGTTTGCAGCCATTCTCCTGCCTCAGCCTCCCGAGTAGCTGGGACTACAGAGCCCGCCACCACGCTGACTAGTTTTTGTATTTTTAGTAGAGACGGGGTTTCACCATGTTGCCAGGATGGTCTCGATCTCCTGACCTCGTGATCCACCCGCCTCGGCCTCCCAGTGCTGGGATTATTAGCCAGGATGGTCTCGATCTCCTGACCTCGTGATCCACCCGCCTCGGCCTCCCAAAGTGCTGGGATTACAGGCTTGAGCCACCGCGCCCGGCCTTGTTTTTTTTTTTTTGAGACAGAGTCTCACTCTGTTCCCAGGCTGGAGTGCAGTGGCATGATCTCGGCTCACTGCAAGCTCCGCCTCCTGGGTTCACGCCATTCTCCTGCCTCAACCTCCCGAGTAGCTGGGACTACAGGCGCCCGCCACCACGCCTGGCTAATTTTCTGTATTTTTAGTAGAGACAGGGTTTCACCGTGTTAGCCAGGATGGTCTTGATCTCCTGACCTCGTGATCCACCCGTCTCGGCCTCCCAAAGTGCTAGGATTACAGGCGTGAGCCACCGCGCCCGGCCAGAGACGGGGTTTTTGCCATGTTGCCCAGGCTGGTCTTGAACTCTTGGGCTCAAGCAGTCCATCTGCCTGGGCCTCTCAAAGTGTTGAGATCGCAGACGTGAGCCACCACCCCGGCCTTAAGTTACTTTACCATCCTGAGCCAGGTGTGCACCAAATGGTGGCTTTTTTATTTTAGAGACAGGGTCTGTGTCATCCAGGATGGAGTGCGGTGGTGCGATCTCAACTCATACAGCCGCAACCTCCTGGGTTCCAGCAATCCTCCCATCTCAGCCTCCTAAGTAGCTGAGAATAAAGGCACACACCACACGCCCAGCTAATATTTTAATTTTTTTTTTTTTGTAGAGATGGGATCTCGCTGTGTTACCCAGGCTGGTCTCAAACTCCTGGCCTCAAGCAATCCTCCCACCTCAGTCTCCCAAAGTGTTGGGACTACAAACGGGAGCCACCGCACAGGGCAGGGGGCTCTATTTATTGCATTTATTGTCTTTTTTTTTCCCCCCCTAAGACAGGGCCTTGCTCTGTTGCCCAGGCTGGAGTGCAGTGGCATGATCTCTGCTCACTGCAACCTCCACCTCCTGGGTTCAAGCGATTCTCCTGCCCCAGTCTCCCAAGTAGCTGGGATTACAGGCACCTGCCACCATACCTGGCTAATTTTTTGTATTTTTAGTAGAGACGGGGTTTCACCATGTTGGCCAGGCTGGTTTTGAACTCCTGACCTCAGGTGATCCACCCACCTCAGTCTCACAAAGTGCTGGGATTAATTACAGGTGTGAGCCACAGTGCCCAGCCTAATTGTTGTATTTTCAATGGAGACAGGTTTTCACCATATTGGCCAGGCTGGTCTTGATATCCTGACTTCAGGTGATCCGCCCACCTTGGTCTCCCAAAGTGCTGGGATTACAGGCCTGAGCCACCGCACAGGGGAGGGGGTTCCACTTATTGTCATTAACTCCTCACTATGTGCCCGACAGTTTTCCATATTCGGTAAATACTAATTCCCGACAGCTCCATCGGCGGAAAAGCGGAGGCCCAGAGAGGTCAGGGGCAGGGCACCAGCCTCACCATTAGCAGAGATGAACTCAGACCCAGGGGCTTCGGAGCCCGCGCACCTGCACCCAGCCCCACCCCCTCCGGCCTCCCGGCCCCTGCAGACCCCCAGCCCCCTGGTCCCCAGCCTCTCCTGTGAGCTCTGACCACACCTCGGTCACAAGGGCTCCCCTCCCAGCATCTGCCCAGTTCCCACGGCCCGGACCCCCTTCGGTGCCCCTGGAGCTCCTAGTCGACCTGCAGAACCCAAGTCCGCTGCCCCGCCCCCCCTTCCGCCGGGGACCCCGGTCCTGCCCCGCCCCGAGGCCACTGCGGGGGCAGCTGTGCCCGCTCTGGTCCCCCAGCGGGGGGGGTCTCTGCGTGCGGGCGGAACCCAGGCGTCTCCCCCGCCCCCAGCGCGACCCCCACCCACCTCCACGAAGTAGAAGCAGGGCAGGAGCGTCATGCTGTCCTTCGGGATCTTGTTCTTCTCCTTGGAGATCATGGTGCCGCGGGCGCCGCAGGCCGTGGCTGGAGGGGAGACAGCGGCGCTGGAGGGGGGCGCGCAGGCGGAGCCCGGGGGGGCACGGTGGCCGGCGCCGGCGGGGGAGGGGCGGCCGGGGAAACTGAGGCTGGAGAGAGCGGCGTCCGCGCGCCCTCCCCGCGCCCCGGCCCAGCACGCGGCTTCCGGGCGCGCCCACACCCGGGATCCGGGGGTCGGGGCCGGGATCTGCGAGGAGGGCGGGGCAGGCCTGGCCCGAGGGTCTCGGGGCGGGAGCCGGTCCCCGTGTGGGGGTGGGGGGCGTCCGGGAGAACGGGGGTCCCGGGCGGCGGAGGAGGCTGGGTCCGCGCCCCCCGCCCCGGAGCCCCTCACCTGGCGCGGCCGGCGCCCAGCACAAAGCGCGTCTCCTCCGTGGGGCGGGGCCGGGAGCGGGGACGGGGAGGGGAGGAGGGAGGGGAGGGGGAGGGTCCGGCCCGGAGACCCCCGCGCGCGCCCAGACGCCGCAGCCCAGACGCCGCGCCAGGGGCGGGGGCTCTTTGTCTCCGCGCGTCCTCCGCAGGCCCCGCGCACCGTCCCCGCCTCCCGGGCGCCGCCTCCCCCCGCCGGGGGTCTGGGGGGTCTCAGGTCTGCGCGAGCGGCTGGCCGGGCTCGGGGGTCGCGTCCTCCTCTCTCCGGGCCTGCGGCGGCGGCGGTCCCGTCCTCCCCTCCCCGGTGGCTGCGGTCGGCCCGGGGGCCCCCATCGAGGCGGGGGCGGGGGTTGGGGGATTCGGGGTCTCTGACTGTCTCGGTGCCTCTCACGGTCTCTCGCCCGCTCCGACTCCCCCCGCCCCGCGCCTCCGCCCGCCCCTCCGCGGAGCCCGCCGCTCGCTGGTGCGCGTTTCCATGGCGCGGCTCCCAGGGCGCCCGGAGCATCCGAGACAAAAGAGCTGGGGGAGGGGGAGGGGGTTGGGGGGTCTCCCGGTGCCTCCCTCCCCCGCACTCACCCTCGCCCCCTCCGCCGCCCCGGGGTCCACCCTCCGCCTGGCCGCAGCCGCCCGGGGCGCACGGCGGGATTGCACGGTGCGGGGCTGGGGGCTGCGGGATGCGGGGATGCGGGCAGGGCCCTGGGGACGCGCACTCGGGCAGTGCCTGCTGCCTGCGGGCATTTCCTCCTTCATATGCGCAGCCTTGCGGGGTAGGGGCGGGTTGACCCCCGTTGTAGGAATGGAGAAACTGAGGCTTGGGCACCCTGGGTCGCTGTCCGAGGTCTCTGGGCCCCAAACGGCAGGTTTTTAAAAAATCGTTTTTTGGGCGGTGCGTGGTGCCTCAGGCCTGTAATCCCAGCACTTTGGGAGGCCGAGGCGTGCGGATCACGAGGCCAGGAGTTCGAGACCAGCCTGGCCAACATGGTGAAACCCCGTCTCTACTAAAAACACAAAAATTAGCCGGGCGTGGTGGCGCATGCCTGTAGTCCAAGCTACTCGGGAGGCTGAGGCAGGAGAATCGCTTGAACCTGGGAGGTGGAGGTTTGCAGTGAGCCGAGATCGTGCCACTGCACTCCAGCCTGGGCAACAAGAGCTAGACTCTGTCTCAAAAAAAAAAAAAAAAAAAAGAAGAATGACTTCCAGGCCGGGCGCGGTGGCTCAGGCCTGTAATCCCAGCATTTTGGGAGGCAGAGGCCGGAGGATCCCTTGAGGCCAGGAGTTCGAGACCACCCTGGCCAACATGGTGAAATCCCATCTCTACTAAAAATATAAAAATTAAAGGCCGGGTGCGGTGGCTCAAGCCTGTAATCCCAGCACTTTGGGAGGCCGAGACGGGCGGATCACGAGGTCAGGAGATCGAGACCATCCTGGCTAACACGGTGAAACCCCGTCTCTACTAAAAAATACAAAAAACTAGCCGGGCGAGGTGGCGGGCGCCTGTGGTCCCAGCTACTCGGGAGGCTGAGGCAGGAGAATGGTGTAAACCCAGGAGGCAGAGCTGGCAGTGAGCTGAGATCTGGCCACTGCACTCCAGCCTGGGCGACAGAGCAACACTCTGCCTCAAAAAAAAAAAAAAAAAAAAAAAAATTAGCCGGACATGGTGAGGGCGCCTGTAATCCCAGCTACATGAGAGGCTGAGGCAGGAGAATTGCTTGAACCTGGGAGGCGGAGGTTGCAGTGAACCCGGATGGCGCCATTGCACTCCAGCCTGGGCGACAGAGGAGACTCTGTCTGAAAAATAAAAAATAAAAATATAAAAAGGTGACTTCCAGAGGGTTGGAGCCCTGCCGGATGCCTTAGTTTGCTCATAACAGGCACTGCTGCCCCCTGGGAAGAGGGTAGCCCGCATTTAAACAGTTAAATGGTGATGGGAATAGGATGGGAACCCAATGGTGCTGCTACCTTTGGGCGGATTCAGAGGTGGCCCCGCTTCCTGGGACAGGACTGCACGGACTGCCTGGGGAGGGGTCTTTGGCCCCCAGGGTTCCTGCAGAGGGGCTCGGGGAGGCCCTGTGAGCAGATGGTCACAGCATTCATTCATTCATCTGTTCATCTATATCTATCTATTTGCTACTTCATTCATTCATCTATCTCATCTATCTATCTATCTATCTACATTCACTCTACACACCTAACGGTATTTCATTCATTTGCCTACCTAGCGTTCATCTATTCATCTATTACCTGTAGCTATTCATCTATCTATATCTATCTATCTATTTTGCTACTTGCATTCATCTATCTATCTATCATCTACCTACATACCTAACGTACTTCATCTATTATCTACTCAGTTGTCTAATCATTCATTCATCTATTATCTGTAGCTATTTGGCTCATTCATCTATCTATTCATCTATCTATTACTTCAGCTATTCATCTATTAATACTTGTAGCTACTTGGCTCTGGTCTTATCTATCTCATTCATCTATCTACATCTACTTCCACATACCTAATGTACTTCATCTATTATCTACCTAGTTGTTCATTCCATTCATTTGTCATTTGAGCGCTTGTTTATTCATTCATTCATTCATTCATTCATTCATCTATTTATTCACATTTGTGCTATTCATTCATTCATTCATTCATTCATTCATTTATCCATCTATCTATCTACATCTACCTACACACACCTAACGGTATTTGCATTCATTTATCTACCTACCTACCCATACATTCATCTATTACTTGTGCCAGTTTGGCTCATTCATTCATTCATCTATCTATTTGGCTACTTCAGCTATTCATTCATCTATCTATCTATCTATCTATTTGCTACTTCAAAGGCCTAATAATTCATTCATCTATCTATCCATTCATCTATCTATCTCATCTATCTGCCTATCTATATTCATCTATCTACATTCGTCACATACCTAATGGTAATTTCCATTCATTATCTACCTACCTAATAATAGTTCTATTCATTCATTTCATACTTGTGCTATTTTATTCATCTATCTCCATCTATCTATATCTATCTATTCATCTACATCTATTCATACCTAATGGTATCATCTATTTAGTCACTTCAGTTGTTCATCTATCTATTCGCTACCTAATATCTATTCATTCATTCATCTATCTATCTATTCGCTACTTCCAGCTATTTTAATAATTCATTCATCTATCTATCTATCTATCTATCATTCATCTATCTTATCTATCTAATATCTACCACAATACCCACCGTACTTCATCTATTTATCTATCACCAATAGAAGTTCATTCATCTATCTATTACTTCAGCTATTTTATTCATCTATCTCATTCATTCATCTAATATCCATTCATCTACATTCACTTCCACATACCTAACGGGTAATTTCCATTCATTTATCTACCCACCCTTCATTCATCTATCTATTACTTGTGCTTAATTATTCATCTATCCATTCATCTATCTATTCATTACTTCCAGCTATTCATTCATATTCTTATCCATCTATCTATCTATCTATCCATCTATTCATCTATATTCATTCATCTACATTCACTTCATACCAATGTACTTCATCTATTATTCACCATCACGGGCAGAATATTCATCTATATTCATTACTGAGTTAGCTCATTCATTCATTCATCTACCCATTCATTCATCTATATCCATATCTATCTATCTACATCTACTCTACACACCTAACGGATTTCCATCTATTTATCTACCAGTTTATCCATCTATTCATACCAGCCATCTATTCATTCATTCATTCATCTATCTATTACTTGTGCCATCTATCTATATCTATCTATCTATCATCATTCATCTACACATCTACCGACATACCTAATGGTGCTCCATTCATTTATAAGGCTACCTAGTTGTCTAGCCATCTATTTGGCTACTTCACTTGGGAGTCAATTCATTCATCTATCTGTTGCTATCTACATGCAGTTATTCATTCCATTCATCTATCCATTCACATCTACCTACACACTAAATGTACTCATCTATTTATTCACTACCTAAATAAGTCCATTCATCTATTCATTACTTCCATTCATCTATTCATCTATCCATTCATCTATCTACTCATTCATCTGCTATCTACTCTTACATACCTAACGGTAACATCTATTATTCTACCTACCTAACAGTTCATTCATCTATTTGCTACTTCAGTTATTTGCTCATTCATTATTCCATTCATCTATCATTCATCTATTTGGTTACTTCATCTATCTATCTATCTATCTATCTAAGCATTCACTATGGCCACCAATGGTGCTTCATCTAGGGTTAGATCACTACCTAACAGTCTATTCATTCATTTATACATTGAAGCATTTGTCTATCTATCTATTTATTTTCATCTATCTATCTATCTATCTATCTACATCTACTCTACATACCCTAACGGTAATGCATTATTATCTACTCCAGTTTCATCCATCTATTCATACCTAGCCATTGGCTCATCTATCTATCTATCTATCTATTACTTGAAGCATTCATTCATCTATATCTAGTATCTATCTATCCACATCTTCACTGACATACCGGTACGGTGGTATCGTATCTACGTGGTGCTACCTAGCGTTCAGCCAATTCATTCATGCTACTTCTGTGCCACTATTCAAATTCATTCATTCATCTAATATATTCACATGCAGAGCTTTGTCATTCATTCATTCATTCATCTAATATCTACCTACACACTAAACGTGTACCCATCTATTTATTCATCTATCATTTAACAGTTCATTCATTCATTTCATACTTCATCCATCTATCTACATTCATCTATCTCATTCATTCATCCATTCATCTACATCTACCTACACAATTTCCAACGGTAATTTCCATTCATTTATCTACTCCACCTAATAATCTACATTCATCTATTTGGCTACCTAGTTTGTCTATTCATCTATCATTCTATCCATCCATCTATCTATCTATTCTAGTTACCCCATTCATTCATCTATCTATTCATCTACATCTACCTACATACCTAATGTAATTTCCATCTATTTATCTACCTACCTGGGACAGTCTATTCATCTATTCATTACTTCAGCCATTCATTCAATTCATCTATTCATTTCCTATCCATCTATCCATCTATCCATCTACTATCTACTCTACATACCTAATAATGGTAAATTTTAACTATTATTCACTACCTAACAGTCTATTCATCTATTCATTATCTGTGCTATTCATTCTGTTCATTCATCTATCTATCTACATACTATCTATCTATCTACATTCACTGGACATTACCTAATGGTACTTCATCTATTATCTTACCTGAAGGTTCATCTATCTATTTATAATACAGCTGGTTTGGCTCATATCTATCTATCTATTTCATTTGCATACTGAAGTATCTATTCATCTATCTATGCATTCATCTATCTATCTATCTATCTATATCTATCGATTCATCTATCTATCTATCTAC